AAGGGTATTAGACCCTAATGTGCAAACAAAACTCTGATTTTGCTGAACAAGTGCTCGTTATTTCTGTATTTCCCCCACATTTGTCCTCTGCTAAACAACAAGAAAAACTATGAAGAGATGGTGGGTTTTGACAGCTGAACTGCTGTCATGCCACCTTTTTGCAATAAAGCAAGCAGTGGGGGGGATAATGCAATATGGTGTATAAAGTATACAAAATATTATGATTCTGCAATACAAGTGGGGGGTTCAAATATCAGGACTTCCATATTTTTTATATAGTCAGCTTTTTTCTCTGTGGGGGAAAAAAAACCCCAACAGGTATGATTGTGTGGCAAAGTAACTGTGTGTGCAATCCCTCCTTGTGATTTATGCAAAGCATTTATACACTTTTTCTTAAATTGACATTAAACGTTAATTTAAAAACCGAGGTGCTGTGCACCTTCAGCATCAACCCAGAGCATCATTTTCCAACATCACTGCCTGCATCTCTGCAAATGGACTATTTTGTTTGGGTTTTTTTTTGTTGTTTTTGTGCGTTTTTTTGTTGTTGGTGGTTTTTTTTGGTTGGGTTTTTTTTTTTTTTTTTTTGCACTGGGAATGTAATTCAGGACATTCTGGCTGGTGGTTGGTTTGAATTTTTTTTTACTTTTGTTTTTTGTTTTTTGTTTTTTTTTAAGGAGGGGACTTCAATGTCTGCATATTTGTATAGCAGTGCCACGGCTTGCCCACCCGGGCAGCTCGGCGTGCCTGCATCCCTTACTCCTAGGAGCTTCTGAACAATAGCAAACTGGTGCAATACCCAGCACGAGGTGCTCCAGCACTCTTTAAAAAAAATATTAAAAAAAATTCCCCAAGTATTCAGCCCAGTAGTGCTCCTCTCAGCTGAGATTTGGGATCAGAAGAGCGTTTCCAGGCCCCCAGGGCCAGGCTGGCAGCACGGGATGTGTAATCTCATGCGCGACTCCCCCCCGAGCTCGGCTTGGGTTTGTTTGCAACAAAGCAGAAAGGGCTTGGACTCATTCGCATTATGGCCACGTTAATAATAACAGGCTCTTACCTGTTGTTCTCTATTTTTTAGGAACTGAAGGACACACTGCAAACCACTAGTCGCTGTGTTTAAAAATGCATTTTATCCCCTTTAAATCCCGCATGGTTGCTCCCTCTGACCTGAGCTGGTACCAACAAGGCTGGCTAACCAGTGCTCTGCCTGCTGTTTTTTCATTTAGCAGATGCTAGTCTTTCATCTTTTGATTTGTAGTTTTACTACACAGATATTTTTACACTGGTGTGAGGTAATTAACATTTTAAAATATTTCTTCTTTGAAACACCTAACAAGATTGATTTTCTGAAAGACTCCTTTTTGCGATTAAAGAGTCGAGAAGATAGCAATCGTATTTCACCCTGGTAATGACTTGTTCATATTTATTACAAACCTTAGTAGTATCCAGGTGATAGATGAGTACACTTTTTTTTTTTCCTTTGGAATATATAAGGGAAATGTTTTGGTAATTACCTATTATAAGAGAAGACCCCCTTGAGTTACTGTTTAAATGATCTGAGGGACTTTGCATCATTCCCTCTTCAATTAAACTCTTGACACGTGCCATATGTCACTTCTCTGTTACCTTCGAACCTTTCCAAGCCTTGCTGGTCTGAAATCCCCCTCTCCGACAGGCCGCAGGTCCCTGCTGGGGATGAGGGATATCCCGTGCTGAGCATCACCCTGCCCGGAGGGGCTGGGCACGCCGCACCCTCCTCACATTTCCCTGGTTTTTATTTCCCATAAACGGGAATTACAGAGTACCGTGTGGCCAGGGAGGGGGCTGCGTAAGGTGATGCCTTCGGCCCTCACATCCAGAGTCCATGTGCTGCCACGCCAGGGAAATGACTCCCCAAAATTCAGGGGGGGTCGCTGGTTTTGCGAGGAGAATGAGCCCCGCGGCGTACCAGGTCCTTGGGCTTTCCTTTGCCCCACCTTCTCCAAACCTCAGGCATAATTTCCAAGAGGAAGGAAGAGAGATCCTGTGGACTTTTTACTTTTTTTCTAATCCACCTCTTAAAAAGTTTCTTTCAACTTTAAGAAATTGTGGAAAGGGCTTCATTAAAAATCGAAGAGAAATTGTTCCAGGTGTTGTTCACCCAAGCAGGATTTAGTGGTCACTCCCTCCAAAATCTCTGGATGACAGCTGCCGGAGACAGCCATACCGGTTACCAGGAGCTACCAGATTCCAGCAGCCAGTAATTCCCACGTCACGCGACACTGCCGTGATAATCGCAGAATCACAGAATGGTTTGGGTTGGAAGGGACATTTAAACGTCATCTAGTCCAACCCCCCTGCAATGGCAGGGACATCTTCAACCAGAACAGGTTGTTTCGTTATCTTCCGCTATTTAGATATTCCTATACATGGGTATGTTGAGGGATAAGTGCATATATTATATATACCTATATATAAAATGATGTATATGCACATAGAAGGATTATTTATATTTTTGGTTTGCGTTTTCTATGCATGATGCTAGTGGAGTTAGTGCTTAGTAGAAAACAGAATGGCCACCAAGCTAAGTTGGAGAAAGAAAAAAAATCTGAAACCCTGATTATTTTTAAAATCAGAACATGTTTTAGTAAAATAAAAAATGTTTTAAGAGCGATAAAGTCAGATCTTTAGTAAAAATCGCTATAGATTTAATTTAGATTTAATTTGTAGGGCAAAATGTACTCCAAACCCAGAATTTTCATAATGAAACAGATAAAATGTTTTAGTGATTTACGTTTCATTTCATTGGAGAAATTAGTTTTTTCGATGGGCACTGACCGCTTCACTGGAACAACTCCGCCCTTAACGATTCCGCGGTGAGGTTTGCTGGCTCCAGCATGCGAGATGATAATCCCTCCATGGCCCAGAACAGGCGGAGAGAACCGTGGAGGCCGCGGGGGGCTCGCCAGAGCTGCCTGCCCCGTGCTGCACGGCCGGGCACGACCCGGTTCCCCCGCGCAGAGGAGCCCCGCGGTGCCCCCGGGGTAACCTGGACCAAGCCGCCGCCCCGTCGTCTGCTTCATGGCTCATTCCTGCTGGGAGCGTGCGAGCTTACGGGAGAAAAAGAAAATGCATCATTTGTTTCACGAGCGAATATGTCCCGGTCTCTAATTGCGTTTGGTGTGACGGCCCGTACCGTACGGCGGGTTGCCTATAACACGGTAGGTGCCATCGTCCGGGATTTGCATCCTTCTAAATTTGACGGCATCACCTGCCTTTTGGAACGTGTTCCGTGTTTTCCTTTCAAGCTAATACCCATAAAATGACGTCCTGCTCTCAGATCCAGCCCGCATCCTTCGGTGACACTGTAGGAATTCACACAACTGAGCTTTTCCGGCCGCTGCGAAGCGGCTCCACATCATCTGCGAGTGGGTCAGACACGTTCCCAGTTCTTGTCTAGGGTTTTTTTTTTTTTTGGTGCTGCATCTATCAAATCCACTGCTAAAATAAGCAGTGGAAAATCCAGCCATCTACATTTAAAAATAACCCTCCCAAAGCCGATATGAAATGAATATACATAAGTTAAAGACTAGAGCGTCTTCTTTAGCCTAATTGTAGCCGCGACGGTAACAAATCTAATCAAAAGATCTGGCCTTGATGAATCTTGACTAGCAGCAGAGTCACATAAAACACATAAAATACATTTATCTTTGACTAGGGGAATACATGTTTTCAACAACACACTCTGCAAATCAGTGAAATATATTTAATAAGCAGGATCATCTCTTCCGAACACATTAGCATTTTCATGAGATGTCGTTAACGTCAAAGCCAGAGAGCCAACGCCGTAGCTAAAATGTCAGCTGGCCCTACTGATAAACCCAGCATAGTAATCAGTTTTGAGAGCAATTAAAAGTCTGATTCCTCTAGGAAAAATATATACAGGCTGGTTTTCTTTAACCAAAACAACCCTGGCCCTGAAATGCTGCCAAGCCAGAAAGATTAGTTTCAGGGCAGTGACAGCAAGACACACAGGTTTGGGCTGTGCCTTCAGAATATGAAAACATTACCAATTAGCATTCCAAATTATTTTAACGAGGCGATTAATAGAGTTTCTCTCAGGGAAAGCAATAATCAATCAAACCCCAATCAAAGAGAGATTGCTCTGCTGCACAACAGGAATTTGTTATATTTAGACCGACTATCTTTGTACTAAATATACCGTGCTAAATATAATATTGGACCCAAGTGCGTTTTCATCGGAAAGAGATTGGGAAGCAGGGGGGTGGGGAGAGCCTGAAGATGATGGGGGGGGACGGCCTGGCAAGATGTCACGACCAACGCTACCGACCCATCTTCCAGCCGCGCTCCGGGAGGCCAAACCACTTGTTACCGATCTGATACCGTCACAGGTGAACCAGCCCTGACCTCCCCCCCTTTCCCTGCCCACGGCGGGGGGCACGCGGCCTCCCCCCGCTTAATTACCTTTCCTCCCAATGAGAGACCCTGTGGCTTTAGGTACTGCTGTTTTTCTGGAGCGTGGCGCTGTGCCACCCCGGCTTCGTGGCTCTCCTCATACCACACGTGGTTATCACCGCCAATTATCCAGCAAATAACACAGCTATAAACAATTTATACCACTGAGTTAACCAGCAACAGCTATCTGTTCTAATTATTTGCTGAGTACTTATTTAGTACGTCAATTCAGTATGCAATCTGATATAAAAATTTTTTTCCCAAGTGGATTCATGGCTGGGAAAGTCATTTATATTGTCAAACCGCCAGCAATTTCTTGTCTAACTTGCTTTGTGCTCAACACTACTAGGTAATACTGAGCTGTTGCAAAACCTGGAGATAAGTATGGAGTTGGTAAAGGTTGTTGTCTCCCCTCCATGGTGCAGCAGACACTGCATCTTAAAATGTCAAGTTAAAAAAACACCTGTTTGGTTTTTTTTTTAAATTATTTTTAATGTTGATTTATTCCATTACATTAATGCTGTGGGGTTTTTTTTTTTTTTTTCATTCTGTCTCTATCAATTTTACAAACCACCCCGACCACGTTGAACTTGAGCTTCTCCTGACCCCTGAATTCCAGTCGTACGTCCTTACTGTCGTTCTCTCTGCTTTGCAAAGCGTTGGACGTGAGGAAGGTTGTGGCTAAACAAGCGCCGGGGCTCAGAGCAGGGTGACTCCAAGGGAATGACACACCGATACCCCGGCACAGGGCACGCACCTGCAAAAAAATAGTCTCAAACTGATTCATATATCCTTACTCTTTAGTAACTCGATTGTATCTTACAGAGCTTTTACCTTTTTTTAGAAAGCTTTTAGAAAGCTTGCAGTTTGCTTGGCTAGGGATCGCTGTGCTTTGGGAGCAGGTATTACGGGTGTGGGTCGTGTGTTTGGGGTGTCAGGCTGTGTCCCCACCTCCCGGAGAGCCTGGGCTTGGCAGGGCATCACCTGAACACGAGGTCACCGCCACGATTCTTTCCTTATGGCTCATTTATCTTTGTGGGGTCATTGCACACTGGTCTATATTACATATTTATATTTATTACCTCTCTATTGCAGCTGCCTTTGTTATAAACGCTATGTTCTAATTGGTACTGCCTTGAACACACCCTGCAATGCTTTCTCTCCCTGAGTTACAGGTTTGGAGGCCAATGCAATTACTGGCCTCCTCTAATTAATAGGAGACTACCTTAAGATTTCAAAGTCACTTTAATCGCTACACAGAAGTTTTACATTTTTGCTTTGTTCCCGTCTCCTCGCAGCCGATTCAGACAAACACCCACTTTGTCGAGTATCAAGCCGCATCAATGTACTTGTTCATTAAGGTTGTTCTGGTTTCGGTCTGTCCTACACTGACACCAGATGAATATTCACTCCGAGCTACCTAAAATAGCAGCGCAGGTGCTGACAGGGTATGAACAGCAGCCTTCAAGGGGAGGTCACAAAGCACGCTAGATCTGTCTTGGAGTAAGAGAAGCATTGAAAATCAGGCAATAGAACCGTATCAAAAGCATTGCTTTTCTTTTTTTTAGTTTGTTTTTGTTTGTTTGTTTGTTTGGTGTTTTGTTTGGGTTTTTTTTTTTTTTTTTTAATAAACTGGGGAGGCAGATGAACTTCTGGTTAGTTTTTATGTGTACAAATCTCCCGTAAAGAAATCTGTTTCAGCGAGGTACAAATCAAAAATAGATGTTCGCTCTCCTACTTCTCAAGCCCTGTCAGCAATTTCTGTTGCTTCTTAGAGAGAATATTATTCATGAGCTGCTGGAGCTGTTCTCTGCTGGAGCTCATCCTCAAACATGACCTTTCCAATGGGTCATGCTCCTCTGTTATAAATTAAATGGAAGAAATCTGGTTTGCGATTTGTATTGGTGGCAGCTGAAATCGATCCTTCCTCGCTGTTTCTGTTTTATCGAGGCTGGGTACCCAGCCGGGGCACCGGCCAGAACACGGGTGTTTAAAGGGGTTTTATTTTAGCTCAGTAGTGGCCACTTTTTAGTGCACGTTCGCTAAAACCCAAAGACATGACAGAAGGCTGCTGGGCACTGGCGATTTAAGTACTAGTGAAGCAATGGGTGTGGAAGGGAAGGCAAGTCCTTGCCAGGGGATGGCTTAGGTCTATCACACAAAGACATAATCCTCACAAGCACAGATTTAGGAGTTTTATACAGCAGGATGCTATTCAAGCCAGACCTTCACTAAATATAATACTTGAATATTTATCTATCCGTCCCTGTGGAGTAATTGATATGATTTCTTACAATACTATAATAAACATGTCGCTGCACTCACCCAACAGCAAAGTGGATTCTCTTCTGGAACAGGAGTGACATAATTATCTAAGCACAGAAAATTATGGTCACAAAGTTAGCTAAACACCAGCTGCTAGGTGATTATCAATGCTAAAAAAAGCTACACTGGAAAAAACAAACAAACAAACAAACAAAAGAAAACGAATCTGAGAGATTTATGAAAAAAGGAAATCCAAAATAGTACAGATGAGTCAATATCGTAAAGACGCTCAGTTAGATGGATCTTCAATACTGACCACTGCTGCAGGAAGGAGACCAGACGTGTGGGGCAAGAGGAGATCATCCTTCCCTTGTCAGTGGGGCTCCCTAAGGACAGACCCAGCCACCGACGATTTATAATTACAGCCTCCTGCTTCTGACGAAGATTTAGCATAATTATTCTACAGTCAATATCTACAAGTTAAGTATTGGCTAGGTCTGACCAACAAATTAAGCCAATGCACTGTGCTTTGCTAAGCTATTAGCAGCGTCCATGATCCCACACTTCATCCTACAAAGACTTTCCTACTAACTCTTCACTGAGAACTTGAATGGTGCTAAGCATTAATGAATTTATCTCCGCTGTGAGCTGAGTTATCATCAATTTTACAGACAGGGAAACAGAGGAGCTCGCAAGAGGCTACACAGAAATATTTGCCCATGGACAAGTAGAGCTTCAGGTTAGAGCTCAATGGGAAACTTCATTTTGTGTAGCACAACAGAAAGGCATGTACCTCCATCAGTCATGCCCTGCCTCGTGCTCCTTTCACACTGGGAAACGTGTGGTGGCTACCTGCAGCGAAACACAGAAAATAAAATCAAACTTGCCTAGAACTTGTAATTCAATTATTTTTTATTTCAGGTGCTGATGCCTTAGTAAATGCGGGCAAACTCATCATCTCAAAAATTACATGCTGCAATTCACGGTTCAGAGGACATTTTCATTAAACTGCAAATCTCCTTCTCTGCGGTTACCTGTTCCTGCTCTCCGAACACATCACCCTGCACCAGAACACGAGGGGCTGGGCTCCGGTCCAGGAGAGGTGAGGGACACGCGATGCCAAAGCATCACTTTTGGGACGATCCCCCACCCCCTGGGTTTCACCAGAAGCTTGCTGTGCCGACACATTACGTCCCCAGTACGATCTGTAGCCACTGAAGCAGAACAGCTGATTTTACAAGTGCTTCACCCAACATTCAGAATTTACACATCGATGAGAAAAAGCTTAAATGAAAAGCTTAAATGCTGGTTTTAAATTAGGTTTCCTATCTGGCTTCCCATTGAACTTGAATCTAAGCTTCTTTCTCCCCCCTTTCCCCAAAACCACGCATTATATTGCTTTTATTCTGACAGCTCATTTTCTTCATGAAATACCTAGTGCAAGAACCGTTGATTTTACCTGTAGCAGGGTGCTGGCAGCCGGCATCGCCTCCCCGCAGCCCCCGCCCTGTCCTCGCCACCATCACGTTCGCTGCTGAAATGAGCCTTCCCGTGAAGCACGAGTATTATTTTTGACAAAGCTGAGGCGTCTCCGAAGAAGACACTGCTTTGACTGTTATTTCCCCTAATTACAGTTATTTGATCTTCACATGGCAGAGCATTTAAGGCAGAAGGAGTAAAAGCAAAGCACAAGATGTTCTGGGGCTGATTGCCCTCTGCCTGCTCCGGAGCCTGCAAATCTGCTTCCACCCTCTTGCTCTTCCCCGTCCCAAGGTTTTTTCTTCAAGAAAACCCCATATTTTCCACATGGCTGTAAGCATGTGGAAGCTATCAATTACAATTTTCCTTCAAATTTCATATTATAGTGAGGAAGCTGCAATTTTCACTTACAAAAGCCAAGCTGTTGGTCTTGGTTTCATTTGAATGAGACTTAACAGGGTCAGGCACTAGGGAATAGATCTGCTCCTTTATGGTGCAAAGGCAGACCAGTAAAGTCTGCAATGGCATTTTACAAACGAAACACTAGATTTACATCCAGCCTGTTATCGTTTTGCCACATGGATTGTTTTCAGGTAAGACCCAAGGGTGCATGGGCCCAACCATTACCTTATCAAATCCAGAATTTTTCTGTGTAATAAGCACTCTGGTTCGTGTACAAACCTCCCGCTGTAATTAAATCCTTTTGAGGGCTGGGGGAGAGCAGAGTGCAGCAGAAACGTGGCAGAAATCCCCATCTCTGAAAATCCTCTGTCACGGTTACAGGGGCGCTTGCCTGAAGGGAAGAGGAAAAAAAAAAAAAAAAAAAAGCCGCTCTCTTGATGTGCTTGTTATTACTTATTTTCCCACCATGATGAAAGAGCATCTGACCGTAAGTCATAAACCCAGCTATTTATAGGCCTGTAATTAAACATCACTGAAAGTGTGAAGACACAAAAGCAGTGCCATCTGCCATGCATTTGTGGCACCATAAATATAGATGAAGTGCTGCCGCTCCTTTTGTCCTTCCCAGAAAGCTTATTATTGAAACGGCCTTGCCGTAGGGATGGAAGCAGAGCTCCTGGGGTCCACCCCGCCGGGAAGGCTGCCTGCCCACCCCTCCCCTGGGCTCAGCCCAAAGCCCTCGAGCCTTTCCCAACAGCTTGGCCATCGCAAGGGGACGCGGTGTCACAGCACTCGGCCGGGAGGTCCCTCCAGTGAACCAGCACCCAGCATCCTTCCACCAGCTCCCTGTGAAATCACGGCTTTAGTTAGTAACTCAAAAAAAAAAAAAATTCTATGTATAGCACATTTGAAATGTTATTTTAATCGCAGTCAGATGAAATTCATCAATATTGCTCACTTTAGAAGAACTATATTTGGCAAAGCCCAACACTGCAAAATAGACTTGAATCCCGGCATTTGGGGTCTTGGTGAAGAGCGGTGGTCAGCGGGTGCGGGCTGAGCTGCTGGCTCTGCTTCCCTCCCTGCCCCTGGGCAGAGGGGTGGCCGTAAGTCCTCGTGCCGAGTGGGAGAAGCCACAGCCCATCAGCATGTCCCAGCTTCTGCGTCCCAAAACGCTGCAAGTGTCTTCTGCCGTTGGGAAGCCAACTCCTGCCATTTTTCCACCATTAATTGCAGCGGGATGGCGACGCATCCAGCTTTGGACAGAGGTATACAATTAACTGGGCAACTGCTCTCCGGTGTTTTGGGTTTTTTTTTTTGTTTTTTTTTCTTATTATAGATCACTGCTTTATTTAGATGTAATTTTCAACAAACAGAGCAACCTTAATGCAGCCTCCAGGACAAGAGGAGCTGTCTAAGGGGAAGCCTGGAGTTTCTGGGGTGAAGGGGCTGGTGTGCAGCGGGGCAGGTGAGGGGGACCATGCTGTCCCCCAGCACCGTGCCCTGCGGGTCCCCCAAGTGTAAGGAACTGAAGGAATTGATGCCTCAAACATCCCTTGGCACAGAAAGCCTCAAGGCCAAGCTGTGGCCTTTGTGATCAGGCTAAGGAAGCTGCCCAGGGAAAGGGGGGGTGTATCGAGGGGTGCACGGCCCCACTCCCTGCTGCTGCAGGGCCAGGTTCCTCAGAGAAGCCTCAAAGGGGGGAAACGTGGACTGAGTGAAACCAGACGTTCAGGTTAAAAGACTGATGAGGGAGAGAAATAAATAGCACCTGATGGATCTAAGGAAAAACTGAGGAAAAAATTAAGGGCGGGGAGAGAGAGGGCGTGAATACAACCACTGACTCAATTGAACAGGGTGTTGGTGCACCCCCATCCCACCTCAATGCACGTGCAGAACCCTCGCTCCGCCTTTTCCTTGTCTCTCATGAAAACGAGCTCATGGAATTCCTGCTTCTCTTTAGTATGTGAATCAGCTGATAAGATGAACTTCAAAGGTGACAGAAAAATTTGCTGGGGGTGCACCCACCACCCAAAATTTCCGGACCCGAGACAATGCTGGAACCTGGGTGGTGGCCAGACTCTTTTCCTCTCCTTTCCTTTCCTTTTATTTTATTTTATTTTCTTTCCTTTCTTTTCTTTGTCTAGATTTTTTAGTAAGAGACCCCATTGCTTACTATCCTTTTCCCCAAGTTTAAGTTGTTTCTACAACAAGTAAAATATTTTAACCAGTCGTTTGGTGTCGTTTCACCTTAATTTAACCCGAGGGGGTCACAAAAGCTTTATGACTCCCCGGGCTCCCAGTCCGGGTTGGAACACCGACGAGGGGCACCCAGGAGATGGAGCAGCCCCCCTGCCAGGCTGAGAGCCACCTGTGGGGCTGGGCATCAGGACAGAGAGGCAAAGATGCTCTTCACTGTAAAATTGCTTTGCAAAAGTCACTTGGAAGGTCATGAAGGCTTAGGAGAAGTGAATCCGTGGCTGAGGTTCGTGGCTCTCACGTGGTTATTCCCCCCCTCCCCAGGACTCGGTCACAGCTCCTGTGTGGAAGAAACAGCCTCAAAGACATAAAATCTCCTCTCTCAGCCCTGCTGTGAGCGCTGGCTGGTGACACCCCAGCTGGCAGGGTTCCAGCCAGGCCTTTGGGGAGGGTCCTGGGCTCCACGTTGAGCCCCCCAGCCCCCTCCCCGCGGCATCGCTGCCGTGCCCCTGTCCCCAGCTGGGTCCGTGGTGGCCTTGGGGATCTGCCAACACCCTGGCTACAGACCTTGCACGGAGAGGAAAACTGCTTGTACGTGGATAACGATGACAAAAATAGCCTGTAAGGAAACATGTGATGCCCCACGAGTAATTTTGAGATCTGCTCTCGAGCAGTTTCGATAAGGCTTAATTACAAGTGAGGTACCAGAAAATGCCGAGGATGCAAGAGGGCAACTCCGGCTTCTGCAGAGCCTGATGTAATTCCCGTCAAAATTAGGGAAATAAAAATCCATCTTCAACACGGGATATGTCACGTACCTCAGAGCCAAACCATATCCTTAGAAACAGGGCACTTCAAGTGGAAAATTCGTGGTTCAGGATGATGATTTTTGCCCTTTGGCCCAGCACTGTGGTGCTCCAGGGATGGGGAGATACACTCAGTGGTCCCGCTGCACCGAGCTGCATTTTTTGCTGACTGATGATGAAGCGCTCCAGACTGAAGAAAGAACACTTACCTTCGCATTCAAAATGGAAATTTAAAATTTAAAATTGAAAGTTAGCCCTGAAAGAAAGGTATTACAAGGGGTAAGGTAAGGGCTTGAATGTGACTTCTACGCCTTAGCCCAGTCCTGCTGAGAACAGAGGTCCTCGTTTTGGCCAAATCCAGCTGGAGCCAATGAAAATTGAAAACAAAATTTAGTCCACAGAGAACAAAAGGTTTTCTCATTTTTTTATAAAATATGACCCATTAAACAGATAACACATTTTTACAGTATGTGGCAAGCCTCTGGACTAGAGGAAAGAAGGTGTCATTTTTAAGTTGTTCAACCAGAACAAATTTAATTTTCAGCTATGTCCATTCATAATATTTATTGGGCCAACACGCTGGTGCAACCTGCCCGCACCATCCCTGCCTGGCGATTGGTGCCTGCCCCGGACCCTCTGGAAGGGGTACATGAGCCAGGGGGGGTTCCCACAAAAAATGGGCCATTTTCTTACTCCCCGTTGCCTTTACCCGATAACCCGATGGCCACGAGGGATTGCTGGACGGTGGCCACGCTCTGGCACGTCCTGGTGTGAAGGACCCGGCCGCTTTGCTCCGTTTCATGATGACCAGCGGCCACCCCCCGAGGCGGCAGCAGAGAGGGCACACAAGGGGTTGCACAGAGAACTTCAACATGGCATTTCTCCGTCTACTCTGGTTTATTCTTCATCCTTAAAACCCTTTCTGTTGTATGTGTCAATGTGTCGATATACAAATTATGTTCCCCCCCCCCCCCAAAAAAAAACCAGAGGTGGCGGGAGGGCTGCGAGCCAGGCTTTACTACCGGCAACGTAACGGAGGGCGACTTAATGTTTACTATTTATTGCACGTGTTTGGAGTCATTTTCACACCAGGTTGGGTACGTGGGTGCATGCAGCCGTGCCGGCCCTGGGAGCGGCCAGAAATCTCCCCAAGGACGTGCCGCTGGACGCCAGCCGGGCCAAAGCTCTGAAACGCTCTCCCGACAGGCCTTGTGCATCCTCACGTACGCCCTTCACACAGCTACCTTCCCCAACCATTTTCTAAAAGCTTTCCCAAATGCGTTAAGTTCCGTAATTTTACAGGCTGCTGAAATTGCTTACATTCAGAGAAAATCTGTAAATTATCATCTTGGGAGCCCGGCTGTGTTATTGCAGGTTAATCCTGTGCTTGGTTGCTAACAAAGATACCGCAGGCAAGGCTGGAGCTCTGCACTACCAGCAATATCGTCCCTTAATCTCTCTCTCTACCAACAACGCACAGATTGGGTTGTTAATTTTTTCAATACTAGATGGAGATAACCAGGGGTGCATTTTGCTCTCTAGTATCGGGTGAGCTAAAGGGCTGGGCCTACAGCATCCCCCAGCTTTGCTCCTTGCTCTTCGCTTCTGCAAACCCCCCCGTGATGGGGAGCTCGCATCTTTGCTTGGGGGCAAAGCAGA